CCGGAAGTTTCCAGAAGGCCCAGAAGGTTCCAGAAGGCCTGGAAGGTTCCAGAAGGCCCAGAAGGTTCCAGAAGGCCTGGAAGGTCCCAGCAGGCCCCAGAAGGTTCTGGAAGGCCCGGAAGGTTCTGGAAGGTTCCAGGACCCCCAGAAGGTTCCAGAACCCCCCTGGAAGGTTCTGGAAGGTCCCACAAGGCCCCAGAAGGTTCCAGGAGCCCCTGAAGGCCCCGGAAGGTTCCAGAAGGCCCCAGAACCTCTGGAAGGCCCCAGAAGGTTCCAGAATCCCCAGAAAGTTCTGAAAGGCCCCGGAATCCCCAGAAGGTTCCGGAAGGCTCCAGAACCCCCGGAAGGTTCCAGAATCCCCAGAAAGTTCCGGAAGCCCCAAGAATCCCTGGAAGGTTCTGGAAGGCCCCAGAAGGTTCCAGAATCCCCGGAAGGTTCCGGAAGGTTCCAGGAGCCCCTGAAGGCCCTGGAAGGTTCCAGAATCCCCAGAAAGTTCCAGAAGGCCCCAGAATCCCTGGTAGGTTCTGGAAGGCCCCAGAAGGTTCCAGAATCCCCGGAAGGCCCCAGAATCCCCGGTAGGTTCTGGAAGGCCCCAGAAGGTTCCAGAATCCCCGGAAGGCCCCAGAATCCCCGGTAGGTTCCGGAATCCCCGGAAGGTTCCAGAATCCCCGGAAGGTTCCAGAATCCCCAGAAGGTTCCGGAATCCCCGGAAGGTTCCGGAAGCGGCAGGATGTGGCACGAGGCGCGCAAGCACGAGCGCAAGCTGCGGGGGATGATGGTGGATTACAAGAAACGCGCCGAGCGGCGCCGCGAGTACTACGAGAAAATCGTGAGTGAGAACCAGTACGGACCAGTTTGGGCCAGTTTGGGAGGGGTCCTGGACCAGTTTGGGCCAGTTTGGGGGAGCTAGAACTAGTTTGGGCCAGTTCATACCAGTTTGGGGGGTCCTTGTCCCAGTTTGGGGGTGCCANAATCCCCAATTTCCCCCCTTTAATTCCCAATTCTAATCCCAATTACCCCCCTTAATTCCCAATATTTATCCCCAATTTCCCCCTTAATTAACCCCAATTCTCCCTTAATTAATCCCTAATTTCCCCTTTGTTCCAAATTTTTTCCCCTTAATCCCCAATTTTTGTTCCCAATTCCCCCTTAATCAATCCCCAATTCCCTTTGATCAATCCCCTATTTCTCCTTAATTAAACCCCAATTTTCCCCCTTAATCAATCCCCAATTTCCCCTTAATTAATCCCCAATTCTGCCCTTAATCAATACCCAATTCCCTTTAATGAACCCCCAATGCCTCTTTACTTAAACCTCAATTTTCCCCTTAATTAATCCCCAATTTCCCCTTAATTAAACCCCAATTTCCCCTTAATTAATCCCCATTTCCCCCCCTTTAATTTCCAATTTCTATCCCAATTTCCCCTTAATTAATCCCCAATTTCCACCTTTAATCAATCCCCAATTTCCCCCTTAATTAATCTTCAGTTTCCCCTTAATTAATCCTCAATCCCTCCTTAATCAATCGCCAATGCTCTTTAATTAACTTCAATTTCCCCCTTAATTAATCCCCAATTTTGCCCTTATTTAATCTCCAATTCCCCTTAATTAATCCCCAATCCCTCCTTAATTAATCCCCAATTTTTCACTTAATTAATCTCTAATTCCCCCTTAATTAATCCCCAATTCCCCTCCTAATTAACCCCCAAATTTCCCCCATAATTCTCAATTTTTATCCCCAAATTTCCCCCTTTTTTCCCAATTTCCGCCTTAACCAATCCCCAATAACCCCCTTAATTAATCCCTAATTCCCCCTTAATTAATCCCCAATTTCCCCTTAATTAAACCCCAATTTCCCCTTTAATCAAACCCCAATTCCCCTTTAATTAATCCCCAATTTCCCCATTAATTAAACCCATTTCCTCCTTAATTAAACCCCAACTCCCCCTTAATCAATCCCCTATCCCCTCTTAATTAATCCCCAATTTCCCCCTTAATTAAACCCCAATTTCCCCCTTAATCAATCTCCAATTCCCCCTTAATTAATTCCCAATTTTTCCCTTAATCAATCCCCAATTCCCCCCTTTAATTACCAATTCTCTCTCTTAATTAATCCTCAATCCCTCCTTAATTAATCCCCAATTCCTCCCTTTAATTAACGCCAATTTCTCCCTTAATTAAATCCCAATTTCCCTTTACTTAACCCAAAATTCCCCCTTAATTAATCCCCAATTCCCCCCTTTAATTCCCAATATTTATTCCCAATTTCCTCCTTAATGAATCCCCATTTCCCCCCTTAATTAAACCCCAATTGTCCTTTAATTAAACCCCAATTCCCCCTTTAATTAAACCCCAATTCCCCTTTAATTAAATCCCAATTCTCCCTTTAATTAAACCCCAATCCCCCCTTAATTAATCCCCAATTCCCCCTTAATTAATCCCCAATTTCCCCGTTAATCAATCCCCAATTTCCCCTTAATCAATCCCCAATTCCCTTTGATCAACCCCCAATCCCTCCTTAATTAAACCCCAATTTTTCCCTTAATTAATCTCTAATTTCCCCATTAATTAACCCCAATTCCCCCCTTAATTAATTCCCACTTCCCTTTAATTAATCCCAAATTCCCCCCTTAATTGCCAATTAATTCTATCCCAAATTTGTCCCTTAATTATACCCCAATTCCCCCCTAAATTAATCTGTAATTTCCCCCTTAATCAATCCCCAATCTCCCCCTTTAATTAACCCCAATTTCCCCCTTAATTAATCCCCAATTTCCTCCCTTTAATTCCCAATTTCTATCCCAAATTTTCCCCTTAATCAATCCCCAATTTCTCCCTTAATTAATCCCCAATTCCCCCTTAATTAATCCCCAATCCCCCTTTAATTAACCAAAATTTCCCCCTTAATTAACCCCCAAATTTCCTCTTTAAGTAACCCCAATTCCCCCCTTAATTAATCCCCTAATTTCCCCCTTAATCAATCGCCCCTTAATTAACCCCAACGGCCTTTAATTAATCCCTGATTTCCCCCCTTTAATTCCCAATTTTTATCCCAACTTCTCCCTTAATTAATCCCCAATTCCCTTTAATTAATCCCCAATTTCCCCCCTTTAATTCCCAATTTTTATTATCAATTCCCCCCTTAATCAACCCCCAATCCCCCCTTAATTAATCCCCAATTTCCCCCCTTTAATTCCCAATTTTATCCCCAAATTTTCCCCCTTAATCCCCAACCTCCCCTTAATTAATCCCCAACCTCCCCTTAATTAATCCCCAATCCCTCCTTAATTAAACCCCAATTCCCCCTTAATCAATCCCCAATTTCCCCATTAATTATACCCCAATTTCCCTTTAATTAACCCCAATCCCCCTTTAATTAACCCCAATTCTACCCTTAATCAATCCCCAATCCTTCCTTAATCAACCCCCAATCCCCCCTTAATTAATCCCCAATTTCCCCCCTTTAATTCCCAATTTCTATCCCAATTCTCCCCCTTAATTAACCCCAACTTCCTCCTTAATTAACCCCAATTTCCCCCTTAATTAACCCCAACTTCTCCCTTTAATTCACCATTTCTATCCCTAATTCCTCCCTTAATCAATCCCCAATTACCCCTTAATTAACCCCAATTCCTCCCTTAATCAATCCCCAATTACCCCTTAATTAACCCCAATT